CCACGATATTTCCTTCCAGAGGCGAGTGAATCATCTGAAGGCTGTTGGTGATTCCCAGTAGAGGCAGGAGAACGATCGCCGCTCGCACTGCTTTCCTGAGGGTTCATGGTTGACGTTGGTTATTGTGAGGCAAATGAGGAAGGACGAGAATGATTCTAAGGCCGAATGAGAATTTTTTTTTGTTTCTATAAGTGTTATAAAGGACACTGTCATTGTGCAGTAGAGACGCCACACAAGCATTGCTTAGAAATCCAATTCACTGAAACCATATATCCCAACATGTGACCGACTACAACCAATAGCTGCATTTTGAATACATAACAACTGAAAGCTTCAAGTTGGCAAATTTTCAGTATACGGTTAATATGTATTCCAGTTTCAGAAAGGAAAAAAAAAATATCTGAATGTATTTCAAAATTATTACCAAAGTTTATAGTTATATTTTTAGGCCATAAAATGATGGGAAAACTTTAGAATGATTTAAACATCATCGGCAGTAATTGGCTTAATTTATTAATTAATCAGCAAAAAAATGCACATTTGCAATATCTGATTTGAAAGCACTCAGCAAAAAAATATAATATATATGTTGTCGTTATGAAAAATATTTGTTATTTTCGTTCTGTAAACAAAAATCTTCAAAAGGATTAGATTAATGCAACACTTTGATTAGTCACAGAATAAAACTGAATTTCAATTAACGGAGCAAACTCTCATAGACGTTTTGTCAACACCGACGTTTATAACATTGGCCCTTCTTATTCTCAGTTCAAGCATTGTTTATTGTGACATGAGGTTTTTTGTGAGCTGAAGGGAAGGGATGAACCATTGGGTGTATGGCGATTTCGTATAGATGAAGAGGGCGATCACTGCTCGGAACTGCTTTTCTCGGTTTGAAAAAGTAAGGAGGTAGTTGTGTACAGTGCCCGTGGTTTTGAGGAGAACGGGGAACTATAATTTAGCCTGTGTATAGGGACTGTTGTGACGTGGCTATTATGGTGTACGGCGATTTAGTTTTGAGCTGTATGTAAGATTTCAAGTAAAACAGAAAATTATAATGATAGTTCTATGTTGTTATGCATATACTTGCAAGTAAAATGGTGAATAATAATAAGAGACGTATATTGTGATATGCTCCATGGAGAAGTATGCTAAATGATTATAGTATTTCTAAATTGTGGTACACTGTAATGTGGCTGTGAATATGTATGGATAATATGGGGTTGTGAGTACAGTAGTGAACAGTAATAATTGCTTATTTCTGTAAACAGCTTATTAAATTACATTAGAAAATCAGGGAAAATATGGTTACGATAGCATATACTGACGCAATGATTCATCACTTAACAATTGTGAGATTTGGAAATATGTCACGATTCTTATTTAAGCTGAAAATTAAATATTTGTCTGGTAATAATAGTAAAATATTACACAAAGCTAGCATCAACAATATTGACGCTTCTGATAAAAAAAAAAAAAATATATATATAGTTTTTAAAACAATCTACGGAATCACCCAGCCGCCTTTCACAACCCCGCCATGAAACTAGGTCTCAGCAAGTAAGACAAATATGAGAGCAAAAGGTTAAATTAGTTCATAGGTCAAAGGTCAGCAGCTTCAAGATACTTACTTGACTTGTTGGGCTTCTGAAGATACGCTAGCCTGTAGTTTAGTGATCAGGACACGTAGAATATTAAGGAGAAACAGGAAGTTTGTCTGTAAAGAAGTAATTCTAATCTTAACATGATGATACAGTTGAGATAATTGAGAAAATGACATACAAGAAGGGATACAAGTTATATCATTATTATCATTATAATTATATATTATATACATATATATACATATTCATATATATATATATATATATATATATATATATATATATATATATATATATATATATATATTTATATATATAAATATACATATACATATATATATATATATATATATATATATATATATATATATATATATATATATATATATATATATATATATATATATATGTATATATATATATATATATATATATATATATATATATATATATATATATATATATACATATCTGTGTGTGTGTGTGTGTGTGTGTGTGTGTGTGTGTGTGTGTGTGTGTGTGTGTGCGTGTAAAATAAAAGAAGCTAAGCTGACATCATTTTTTCTTCTACTCAAGATTGTAATACGTAATTTCAGTATTTTCAACTCTGAAAACGTCCCCTCTTCTTATTAAAGCAGTGAAAAGGGGCCTAACCTCCTTCACATCCCACCTTAATTAACATCAAGGTTTAATTAACTAATCGTCTCAAGAGGTTTACCTGTAAGCACCATATCAACTGTCGGGCGGTTAGGCTTACTCCTACAAGCTGTGTGTCTATGTGAAAACATTAAGGTTACGTATTTAGCTCTCTCCTTGTCTGTATTTGTATACAAATTACATATATAAATCCAACTACCCAGATTTTAATTAGCATTATATGCATTATTCTGTGACAT